GCGCTACGCCTGGATTGACACCCTCAGCCGCGGCGGCCTCACGGTGCCCAGCGCGCGGTGGCTCGATGAGGTTGAGCAGCTGGAGGTGCTGTTCACCACGATGCACGGAGGAGATGTCGACCGCGGCCCCGGCGTCGTTAGGCGACTTGCCGAGGCTGCTGCGCTGAAGTTCCCGCAGCTGCATCCATACGTACTGAGGAAGTACGCTATGACTAGGACGCAGCTGCGGGTACGTGAGATCCGGCGCCTCATCGGCGACAGAGAACGTCTCCGAAAGGAGCAGCCTACCTGCAGCCGGGAGGCCAAGCGTGCGCGCCTGTACGTGCATCCTGGTGATTAGACTTCAGCGTGGCCCTGCTTTGTGTGCCGCGCCGGCTGTGGCGGAAGCCGGCGGCGGCGTGCCACAAGACTTTAGCGTGGCCTCGCTTTGTGTGCTGCGCTGGCTGTGGCGGGAGCCGGCGGCGGCGTGCCGCAAGACTTTAGCGTGGCCTCGCTTTGTGTGCTGCGCCGCTGCGCTGACTGTGGCAGGAGCCGGCGGCGGCGTGCCGCAAGACTTTAGCGTGGTCTCGCTTTGTGTGCTGCGCCGCTGTGCTGGCTGTGGCAGGAGCCGGCGGCGGCGTGCCGCAAGACTTTAGCGTGGCCTCGCTTTGTGTGCTGCGCCGCTGCGCTGGCTGTGGCGGGAGCCGGCGACGGCGTGCCACAAGACTTTAGCGTGGCCTCGCTTTGTGTGCTGCGCCGCTGCGCTGGCTGTGGCGGGAGCCGGCGACGGCGTGCCACAAGACTTTAGCGTGGCCTCGCTTTGTGTGCTGCGCCGCTGCGCTGACTGTGGCGGGAGCCGGCGGCGGCGTGCCGCAAGACTTTAGCGTGGCCTCGCTTTGTGTGCTGCGCCGCTGCGCTGACTGTGGCGGGAGCCGGCGACGGCGTGCCACAAGACTTTAGCGTGGCCTCGCTTTGTGTGCTGCGCCGCTGCGCTGGCTGTGGCGGGAGCCGGCGACGGCGTGCCACAAGACTTTAGCGTGGCCTCGCTTTGTGTGCTGCGCCGCTGCGCTGACTGTGGCGGGAGCCGGCGGCGGCGTGCCGCAAGACTTTAGCGTGGCCTCGCTTTGTGTGCTGCGCCGCTGCGCTGGCTGTGGCGGGAGCCGGCGACGGCGTGCCACAAGACTTTAGCGTGGCCTCGCTTTGTGTGCTGCGCCGCTGCGCTGACTGTGGCGGGAGCCGGCGGCGCCGTGCCGCAAGACTTTAGCGTGGCCTCGCTTTGTGTGCTGCGCCGCTGTGCTGGCTGTGGCGGGAGCCGGCGGCGGCGTGCCGCAAGACTTTAGCGTGGCCTCGCTTTGTGTGCTGCGCCGCTGCGCTGACTGTGGCGGGAGCCGGCGGCGGCGTGCCGCAAGACTTAAGCGTGGCCTCGCTTTGTGTGCTGCGCCGCTGTGCTGGCTGTGGCAGGAGCCGGCGGCGGCGTGCCGCAAGACTTTAGCGTGGCCTCGCTTTGTGTGCTGCGCCGCTGCGCTGACTGTGGCGGGAGCCGGCGGCGGCGTGCCGCAAGACTTTAGCGTGGCCTCGCTTTGTGTGCTGCGCTGGCTGTGGCGGGAGCCGGCGGCGCCGTGCCGCAAGACTTTAGCGTGGCCTCGCTTTGTGTGCTGCGCCGCTGTGCTGGCTGTGGCGGGAGCCGGCGGTGGCGTGCCGCAAGACTTTAGCGTGGCCCTGCTTTGTGTGCTGCGCCGCTGTGCTGGCTGTGGCGGGAGCCGGCGGCGGCGTGCCGCAAGACTTTTATGGTATTGGTGATCAATGATCATTCACATTCGTGATCGTGGTAACCTCGGTTATTTGCCGTTTGTGAGACTGTTTGGCGCGGTGAGAACTGATATTTGCAGAGCTGAGTTCGGACCGAGCATGTTGGTTCTGCGCTGTTGGTTACTACTCTGTGCTCGTGGTAAATTCACATTATCATTTATACAATTAATGACAGCTCAAGTTTCGCCTCAGTTTTGCGTGTGAGTGGTGAAGCTTGTTTCCGTTTTAAAGTCGTTAATGTGTGTTTTGTGCGCATATTTTTAACCCGGACTTCTTGAAGCATTGAGATGAATATACGAATCGCTGGGAGGGATGCAGATTTTTGGCTCCTCATCAAACTTCCGAATGGATGGTCGAGACAGATTTTTTTGGTGCATTCTCCATCAGTAGGTCAACAAGTCACGTCGATGTCAGGTTAAGTCTGAGACAAGTCACTGCATTGGGTTTAGAGACCAGCTAACGTCATTCAATATTGGAGCGTCCGAGTTCTTAAATGTATGTGGAAACCACTGAACTCTAATGGTGGAAACCGATTTCGCTGCGTGTGGTGGGAGGGTGCTAGCAGCGGCCGTGAAACGTCGCTCACGACGACGTACAGTACGCCGGGATGTCATATAATTAAAACTTTCAGAAAGCGCGTTCTCTCGGCCTTCATTTACACTGGAGATAATAGGTGGACAACCAGCACCATTTCAGAGTTATTTTATTTACAGAAGCGGTTTTGCATCAAAGTCCCTGCCGTAAGTGTTGTGTCTATGCCTGCCGCTGGATATTCGGCATCAGGAATATATAGTTGCGGATGTAAAATAAGAAGCGATGCCAAAATTAGATCAACCAGGAAAGCGACTCTGCCTAATTCAATTCTATCCATTTTCTCACAAATACGCCTATGCTTTACTACGCGGATAATATGCTATTTCTATTTACTGGTAAAGACTCAATTTATAATTTAAGCCTTTTGATAGCTACTTGATTATACATTGAATAACACATTATAATGATTATATTTTGACACAATGTAATAATATAAAGTGTCAATTTATAATAATAGAATTTGAAACATTGGTTAATTTTTAATGTGAACGATATGTACCGTACGCAACTGTTCAAAAGCAGCACACGCATCAATCAGCTGACGCCACATTCCCGGTGGCGCTGCTCACGGTGCACGCCTGGCCTAAACTTCAGACACTTCAATTTGCTGAGTGGCACTATCGAAACACATTACCAATAAGTGCCCTCAGTACCACGAAAACATTGGTGCCTATTAGAGTTGCAAAATTTCCCTACCGCACTACCGGCATGCCGGTAATTTTCACTACCGCAGGTTTTTTCGTGGTATCTGGCATGTCTTGCCGGTAGCATGCCGGTATTTTTGATTTTGCACACAAAAAAAAATTATCAGCATATGATTCAAACTTTGGACACTAAGAGGCTATTGAATTGTAATAACAGCAATCTTAGCCACTGCAAAATACATTTTGTGGTAGAAGTTCCATTGCCAAGGGTAGGGGTAACACATGAACCTCAGCATTTCACAGGTTTGGCTCTTATTAGAATTGTCAAGAATCTACTGTGGTCTATCAAAGGAAGACAAAGAATACTCATTCATGTTGCAAAAGCACTAACCAATTAGTAAGTCTAATGGTAGGTAATAGGCATAATACAATAACTAAAATAAATAAATGTTCATGGCAACATTCCCTAGGCAAAAGGCAGAATCAAAACAACACAAAACACATTGTTTGGAAACTGGCCTTGAGTCCTGAGATGTGGTCTGAGATACTCTACAAATAATTTGACACTGAAAATCCATCTGAAAAGGCAGGTGTTAGGTAGCTCTGAGCCTAACTTTGGTCCCAAAATGAAATGAAAATGAAATAAACTGGCATTTTGTCTTATCTTTACAAGAAAACACAACATGCAGACGAAGTGAATACAAAGTGGCGCAATGTGGCGCAAAGACAACCAAGGATTGACTTTTAAGATCCTCTGTCCCCTAAAGAAAGGATGTAAGCTGATGACGTAATATTTATTCATATGCCCTTTTGGTTGAATCACTCAAGAGAAATCAATTTTCTTGTAGTGAATAACACTCACAGTGTTGATTTCATTGGAATTCAATATCGTGTTTGATTATTTTTATCAATAAAATCATTCACGAGGCAGAAGGTTGCAGTCCTAAAACCTTTTTTTGCAGTGTTTTAATCAGCTGGTTTAAAACTGTGTTATGGCGCATCTGTTTCGAAATCGATAACCTTGTGTTTGTTCCTGCGTTTGAGATGGGGGAGGATATTATATCGTTTTCATAGGTACATATTATTTGGTGACTTCTCAGGATAAGTGAGTTATTAACACATATTTTTACATGATTCGTATCTTACTAACGAGCCAGCAAGCCATGGCTGTATGTATGTATGTATGTATTCACATCGTGCAATCGGTCCATGAACACATGGCTATTATGATTGACATGTCATAAAAACGGAACATCGGGATTCAGTTGCACAACTAACACACACATTCACGCACACACACTCATCTCACATCACATTTGTACATCGCGCTACTCGTTTTGTTGTTTTGCCAGAAGATGTTTGCGGAGTTTTAGCCTGAACTCTCGCGTTCCCATGTTGTGGAAACTCGGCGGCAATTCATTGTAGCCCGTGACGGCAGAAAACAGAAATCGTCGGCGTCCCGATTCCGTCCGTATTACAGGTCTCTCCAGCATGTCAGCCTGTCTGGTCACACGGCGGTGAATGCTACCCCGGGTCACGAGTGACACGACACGATGCCTCCGACACGAACCCGTGTCGGAGGCATCGAGCGGTAGGATGGCCTTGGCGGATAGGAAAAAGCTGATGTTGATCTCGCTTCCTCAGTTAGGAACATGGCCGAATCTGTAGTTTTTTTATATTGTGATTTGTGACTATCTATAGTTCATTATTTGGTTGGTACCTGCAACATTTTAGGAGAATGTGGAAAATAAGAAGTTAACGCTTGTGATAAATGTGATTGCTGCTCACTGTGCAATCTTCAGAAACACATTTCAGTAATTCAAGTTCTTTTTGTTCTTGCTTTTTTGATGAATGTGTTAATGCTTTTTGTAGGCAATACCTTTTTGATTACAGGTGATATTTTAACAGCTGTAGACTGGAATTGAGTTTCAAAATTGTGGTATTTGTGGGGCGAACTCAGCCAACATCAGGCTGCTAGTAGTTTTGGTTGGACAATGGGTGGCTGCTGGGTGGGGTGGTTACTGAAATGCCAAAATGTGGCATCTCATGTAGGGGTTGACCAGAATCAAGAATGCAGGTTTTTTGGTATGCCGGTAATTTGGCGGTTTTTTTTGCTTGGGGCGTGGTAGCATGCCGGTATCCCAGAAAATTTTTGTGGGGCGGGGCGGTGCCGGTAGCAGCCCATTGGGAAAACTTTGCAACTCTAGTGCCTATCATAAATGTGAAAAGCGCACGGCGACCAAAACAGTCCTGCATTTTCATTACATAAAGCAATACCACAGGAACACAGGCACAATTAAACAGCTCAACAATAACAATCATAAGCACAACAATCACGATAATGTGGTGTGTAGCTCCGTCCTACCCTGTAATGCCCCGACTCATCAGCCACTGGATGTAATACAAACACCCACGGCCCCAGCGTCTCCAAGCGTCTCTCTACCGAACACTGATCATCCCAGTGTGTCCCAGAGCGCTTCTAACCCACCTCTGATCATCCAGTGTCCCTTAACCCACCTTTGATTTGTCTCCGGAGTCGCGGCACGAGCAGCAGCTGGACGCCGATGGCCACGATCAGACCGGCAGCCACCGAGATCAGCACCACCGCCCACACGGGCAGCTTGTCCAGGTACAGCACTGCAGACATCCAGACACACGCGGGGTGAGAGGGAGACGGGACTCAGTGGCACTCTGAGTTAACGGGGGGGGGGGGAAGGGGGCAGAATCAGGGGACATAGGTGGAGGCTTCAATATTCATTTCCCAGTAGGGCTGAGTAAAACTAAATATGCTAAATAAATGCAGTCATTCCTTGACAAAATTACTCGCATATTCAACAGCCAGAAAATGATCGATGTAGAGTCTTGTAGACGCCTATTCTGAACATAACTTAAGTGACGTCTGAAAAGATGCCTATAATACTTCTGACCTCGACAACCAGGCACATTTCGTCAACTCCCCATCACGTGACATCCATGTGACGCCCGATAACAAACAGCTAATAGAGACTGACTGCCGGATCTGCGACGCAAACATCCATGAAGGACATGAACTGCGGAGTCGGGTAACGAGGCAGAGAACGGGAGGAATAGAGAGGGAGGGAGGGACGGTGATAAAATCGGCCTCCCCTGTTCTGGACTGGCCGCCGGTCTGATAACGGCCGATAACTGGGGATAATGGTTTGATAACGGCTGATAACGGGGATGGCTGCGTCCAGAGTGGCGCAATTCCACGTCCGGTCGGTTGGTGGCATTATATCGCTACCTGGAACCCCAATAACCTGAGTTTTGTTCCAACAGCCGTAAGGACGCATACACCCACCTAAAGCGCCATCAGCCACTTCCAATAAATGCGCGCAGTGCGCACTGCGCATTTCCAATCCAATAAAACCTCACAGTCTATGTTACGCAATTAAATTCTGAGGCCGACTAAAGCACTCATTAATCGGTCGAGTGTGAAATACTATCCCCATTGGAACGCAGAAGTCTAAGGCAGGTCTCAGCCAGTGGAGCGGACAACACGAGGACGTCCGACTATTTCTGACCAGACAACGAAATCAGTGACTGCCGGCGATCACAGCCTCAGTCGATATTCACACCGGCTCGGAGGCAGCGAGGCAGGGGTGAGCCAATAACAGGAGTAAAATACTCAATTTGGACGATTCGATACGATCTACTCAATTACAGCGCCAGTATGGGTCACACACCTCCAGGCAACGAGGTGTCTGGTATTGAGTTACTACCAATCCTATCCTACGTCTCCCGTCCTGTCCTAGGTCGCCCTACCCTAGTCAATCAAGAGGTAGCCAGCCACCAGGCATCAAGACTAATAAACGATCAAAAGCTATGAAAACCACATCAGTCTTTTTAGTTATCACACGATTGGTTGGTTTGGATAGTGAAATTCTGCATCCCTCCCATAGCTCTAACGGCTAGCTGCTGGTCCGTCAGTGCTGCTGGAAACTCGCACAACGCCCACCCCATCCTCTAAAACTCACGCGAGGGTCCGTCATGCACCACGCTGAACACGTTGATCAGGATGGTGAAGCCGTAGAAGAAGGGCAGCGAGCGCAGGCCGGGCTCGACCGGCTCGGGTCGGCGGAGCACCAGCGTCCGCACGATCAGGAACAGGCAGATGGAGATGATGCCGGACAGCACCGGCGACAGGAACCACGAGGCCACTGAAACAGAGAGACGGCGGTGTCAGGAGGCCGCGGAAACACAGACAGCAGGGTCACACCACACAGCACCGGAAGCAGGGACCAGGCAGCCACTGGAATACAGAGCCACGACGATGTTAGCACAGCGCGGGTGGACACGGCACCATGTCCCATGGGCAGGGGGAAAACCCTGGAAAGGCTAAACATGCAGTAGATTTTATATATATATATATATATATATATATATATATATATATATATATATATATATATATATATATATATATATATATATATATATATATATATATATATATATATATATATATATATATATATATATATATATATCTGTCATGGATAACACACAATCGGTGTCATATCCTGGGGAATGCCCTAAAAAAGGTTATCACCAGGTCCCTGGCAAAGAAAAAACGCTGGTCGGCTGGGCGTTATAAGATATGGCAGGCAATACGCTGAATTGCTATTTCTCACATGCTTGGAAAGTTGCCTGCGAGATCGATCCTGTCTCATTCCTTTTAGCTAGGGTAAAACAAGCATCGGCGCCACTCCTCACTTCCCAGCCGCCAAGGCTCCTAAGTGAACGGCGAATGCAATGCAAGAATGCAACGCACGCAATATATCGATTGTGACTTAATGCATAACCAGTAAAGAAAATCAACGCTAAATGACCTGAAATATTGTGCGTAAGAGACGGTCCGGTCTCCTTCCTTCTCTCCGCGGGAGACAGCTGCCAGACCAGGACCCATTTGGACGGTTTGTGTAGCGGCCGTTACCACTGCCAACTGACTGATCAGTCAATCGTCTCCAACGAATCCGGATGCATTAGTCGAGCCTCCCCCGACTGAGTGATGACGTTTGATCTGTGCGAATGTGAGACGCCGGAAACGGACCATAAACCTCACGTCAATACTACCCGGGTCAATATTATTACCTCAGCTGTACAACGCAAACTAAATATTTACCGAAGCTTAGGCAATAGTCATTTCGTTTTGTTTTCCCACGGTCACGAGATTTTTCGTCGACCTTCTGGCTTCTTATGTCCTACGGTTTTTATATTCACCTGTCGTGTCAAAGAAAAAGGGTGCAATGCGCGTTCCTGTCGGTACACCTCAATATTTCTACTGAGACAGGCAGACGGCGGTCCACACGTAACCCATGAATCACCCCCCCCCCTCCCCCCGAGCTGCGTGGCTCAGTTGGCCCGGGGTCAGCCTCGGCTGGCCAGAAGCCAACTCGAGCGGTCGTCCGCGCCGGTACCGGCAAACGGACCAGCCCAGTCGGCCAGGGGGGCTAATTCGCGCATTAGCCGGGCCATTTGGACCAGTGCGACTGAATTGGAACAAGTGTGTCGGTGTGAGCAGGCCTTCACACAGCTGCGGGGCGTGCCGCTACATCTGAGCCGTGATGGGTATTGAGCGTTCGCTGAAGGATGCAGTTTCCGACTAAAGGCTTGAATTCATTTAGTTTTAATTACCATCAATTTACCTACGCATCAACTGGAACAAGGTCGATAATCGACAGTCGCTGACTCGCTACCCTTCATCAGCAGAGCTAATATACGCTCAGTAATTCACTGAAGGACTGGGAGTCTGGGACAGGGCAAATAAAAGAGTTCAATTCCGACGTCTGTAACACGTATCTCGGCCAATCTTTTTTACTCCGCCGGCAATAAATCTCACGAAGAATTATGTCATGCTGATGAAGAATTACCTAATCTCTATTTTTACTCTCGCCCTGTTGCCCCTCTGGTCGGCTGCCCTTGAGGTCCACTTCGGATCGGGAGTCAGGGGGTCAGGGGGCCAGGGACAGGGACAGATGGTGGTCCGATGGCTGTGACCGCATTCCGACCGACTGCCAGCCCTGTCAGTGGTCCCACCACTGTCTGATACATCTGTCAGACGGTGACACTATGGAGCACCTCCGGCAGAGCGTGTCAGATTGTGACACTATGTCGAGTTTGCAACCCGTGACAAAGTGGACTGTCTCTGCTATACTTCTGGGAAAACGACGCACTCCCCGGCCCATACGTTGAAATGATGACCCTTGTGCTGCACCAGAGATGCATGAATGACATCGAGCGAAAATACCTAGGTAACCCACACAAATGTAATATAATTTAGCATGACAAGAAAGACGCACCCAATATTGGTCACTCACACGAGTCACCTAACCTGGCAGCGAAGTCTCCTGCTTACCGGCCCACCAAATAAATACCAAGGCATTTCAACTCGATCCGTAAGAGTACGTGATATGAACTTCGCTCCATCTTCTTAGTGCGCTGTTCTTACCAATCACGACTTGTTCTTTGTTCTGTTCTTAGTCGTCCACGCCAATCACGCCTTATGGACGTGTTGAACGCTGTGACGGACGGTGCCGTTGGCGGTGACGCAGGCGGCGTCGGCACCCCACACGACCTCGTGACCTTCGGAACACCACATTCTGGGCATTGGCTGTCGCTCCTGTCAGTCCGGTGTCAGACATTGTCAGTGGGCCCGGCCGACCGTCACCACACCCCATGGTGACAGCCTGTCCGTCTTTGGCGGTTAATCCTCTTCGTCTCTCTCCCTCCCCCTCTCTCTCTCTCTCTCTCTCTCTCTCTCTCTCTCTCTCTCTCTCTCTCTTCTTCCTCTTTATTTAGTATCTTCACTGCATTCATGCCAAACTACTCCAGGGACCCGTCGCGACCCAACCACTATCAGACGAGCCCCCCCCCCCCCCATCAGCGCGATCACGCCCCTCCCAGTCACCAGACGACCGGCCGGCCTGGGCTCTCGGATCCAGCACGTGGCTGTTGCTGTTGGCACCCGTCGCTGCAGGTCGCGCCCCGGCGTCGGATCTGACGAACCGAACCGCCGAGTGACGCAATAACGGCGACAGACGCCGTGAACGCTCCCGACGCAACGACACCGACCGACGCAGAGCCGTGAGGGCCCGCCCGGGAGCTGCGGCGATTGCAATGACCTCTGCCGCCGCCGACACAGACGACTACAGAGCAGGCTGTGACACGGGCCGCGGAGAAAAGTGATCGAAGGTCGGTACGCCGTGGATTCATGAAGACGACCTTACCAGGGACGGATGTAGACGCACTCACTGCCAGACAGCGCACGGGGAATCGATAAATGAAGAGTACCAATTTTCTTCTTAAAGCTACGACTTTATGCTCCGCCTCGTCAAAAAAAAAGCTCCACCTGTCGCCATATGTCCATCAAATGTCTATCGGATACGTCTACCTCTCTAGCCCTGCAGGACTAGGCAGGCCAGGGCCCTGGCCGGCTCGGTATATCACGCCGTGCACGGCGGCACAGTATGCCAGCGATAGCCAGGCGGCAGGGCGTATAACGGGCCTCGCGATAGAGCCGAGGCGCCCGTGTAATGCGGCACAGCATCAATTCCCGTCGCAGGCAGCTGCCGCTGCCAACGACGGCGGCTGCTCAGAGGGCATCGGGGATTGGCGTCGAAAGGCCACCGCATCGAGGAGACTTAGCAAGGTCCAAGACAGTCTCAAATAAGTGTCGAACGGAGCGGAATGCAGTCTCAAGTCTGCATTATTATTACATGATGACCTTAAGCACCTACCAACTCAGGTATCGCGTAGAATAAGAGGAGCCCCACTCCCCAGAGACTCCCCCGAATGGACGGCTCCGTCATCACTGATCCCATTCCGCCCACAGGGAGGAAGGGGCCATCCACACTCCAATGCATACCATCCATATTCCAGACACCAATCTGTCCTATCGCCCCCGACAAGGAGTCCCCTGTTCCCAGTCCAGCCTTTCGTCATCTGGATCAGCGTCGTGTTCCGCGGATGATTTGCGTGACGCGATGGAGGCTCGGCCCTGTCCGATGGCCGCTCTGATTCTATCACCGGTGTTTATGTAGAGCGCCCGGCGCCCCTTCCCGGCGCAGAGTGCGCGTCGTGAGCCGGTCAGCGGCCGCGCCGGCCGATCATCATGCAAAACATGGGTGTTTGACGTCGTTGGCGTCCCTGTCGCGTGGGCGAGTGTGCCTCAAAGGGGCCGTAACGGGTGCCGAGTGCGGATCCGTCAGCGCAATGCGACCGTTTACAGATGACGGAGAGTGTTGGCGCTCAATCACTCAGAGAGCGGGGTCGATGGATGGACCTGCCGGACAGCCACGTGCCGGAAGACCGTGTGCTGTTTACGGGGCAGACCGTCGTAATCGATAGGTGCAGGAGCTCCGGTTACCAAAATTACAAGTGCTTAAGGAGGGCTAATTTATGTACCTAACTATTTATAAATGATGCATCATGTCTGAAGGGCTTTAGCTCGGAATCATTTAATTTATGATCAACATCACTTATTCATGGTCGGTTGAAGATATAAGTGCAAAAGAAGGTCTATAAATGAAGAGGATAATGACCAGAATTGCAAGGGATGGGAAAATGGAGACAGAAAAAGTAAAAGATGAAAGAGGGAGCTTCATGAACAACAGAACGCATGGGATGAGCAGAAAAACCACCGTCCTCAGTCGTCCATGACGGCAGCGGCCTCGGGACGCCGGCGGCGGTGCCGGTCGGCCCCCCGCGCCGCCCTATTCATAGCCCCGGGCGTGTCACCGCCGGAGGCGCAGAGCCGGCGCGTCTCGTCAATGGCCCCGGGCGGTCCGGTCACAGCGGGTCGAGACAAGCCGTCAGTGCTGCCGTCACCGGCAGACGGATATACGGGATACAGGTACTGTATGAATGGCCCCGCGCTCAGCACACGTCTGGGCGGTACAGGTAATATTGGACGGTATTTGGACGATGACGGCTCCACAGGGCCCGCCGGGAGGCATTGATGTATTGCGAGAATAAGGCCGTTCGCGATGCCACCGACACGTTGATCCGCCGTTGATGTATGCTAATTTGGACTGGAGCTCGTCAGCTTGATCCCTGGTCGATCTACCGAAATGCGCAGTAGGTATTCCGTCAATGGGTTCAGCGGGGTTGATCAAGTTACCGGTTAGCCTGTCATTGGAATGTTACCGTTAAACGGTCGTAAGTGAATACTCCTCGTATAGGGTGATGCCTCGTTGCACACATCTCCCCGTCGATAGCATGAGAGTGTGTGAAGAGACATGCCTGCGTAAGCCTTGAGAATCGGGGAACGGACCCGACAGATGGAGGCCAGTCTATATATATTTAGCGCCCGAGCTGTCTGGGATATGTGAGGAGCACTCTGAACCAAATTACTGTCTGCCTCACTGAATAAAATACCTATACATATACGGCATGTGCGCCATAAATGACGCAGGCTGATCAGGGGTACTATGTTCAAGACATCCTTGCCGCTAGCTAACTTCGCAGACAGGCCATGCATTAGGTGCGTTAACATTCATTGAATTATAATGCGATGGTATACCTCTGCACATGACCTTCACGCAGCCAAATACGTTTTATCTCGCCTCATTAGAACGCGTATCAATTATTGAACAGACATTCAAGGTCACTGTCCTGCATAAGTCGCTTAAACATGGATTAACAGTTCATAGTAATAGTTTTTCATGTCCTCGGGACAGTCGTTAATATTAATGCAGTGTAATATACATGCTTACAGTACGGTAAATACGAGGTCATCGCTGTTTGGCCATGATCTATGCGGGTACGTGATTTGCAACGCACAGGCGCACAATAGGGACGATTGTCATGCGCATAGCATCCTGCGATAGCGCGTCCCTAGGTCCGATAGTCTATTGAGCTGTTGAGTCCACCGATATGGTCACGGGTTTATGCAGGTATCCAACAGATGGGCCTGATAGTCACGCATTCATTCCAACGGACCTGTCTAAGACATATGCTCGCCCTGGCCAGAGCACTCGGGTGCGGCCGGCAGGGGCCACCCTACCTTCAAGCTATAAGGGCACTCACCGATTTTGCCGAATGTGCGCCAGCTAACTCACCGATTTTGCCGAATGTGCGCCAGTTGACGCCGTCGGCGCCGCGAGCTACCAGCGAGAAGCCGATGGTGGCTCCGACGATGGTGTGTGTGCCCGAGATGGGCAGACGCAGGAACGTGGCCAGCAGGTTCCAGATGGCCGAGCCGCCTGCCGGGGGGGGGGGGGGAGATGTCAGAGACGGAAGGTGAAGAGGGGAAACGCTGCGGGCCTTATAAATAAACATTTATAGAGATGTTTGTAATGAGCTGAAAAAACAGCAACAGAACACCGTGATTAAAGAGACAGAATGGATGTAATAATGCATTGAACGAAAACACCGGTGAAAAATCAGGCTGCAGAACAACTACGCAATTCGCATGTCCCTTGCCTCCACCCACCCCGAAAAAAAATAAATAACGAAAAAAATGACACAGTCACCGACTAATGTCAAATGTATAAAAACGACAGCTGAGCTGTCGTTATATCGTGTTCATCAGACAGTCGAACGACACGGCATTTAGCAGCTGATTGGCTGATAGCTGGCTGACTCGGCACATGTATCAGCTGTTGCGGGCAGAACTGAACAGACTGACACGCAGACAGATACCAACATAGACAGACACTGACGGCTCAAGCGCCCACGAGTCTGCGCAAATCCCCGGCCAGATGGTGAATATGGCCAACGGCGACTCCATCATCCTACCCACACACACACACACACACGGAGTTTATTGACATAATACATGAGGTACATCGAGTATGTATCACGGAGAGTTGGCGCAAAAGCCATGGGCTCATCTCGAGGCGCCAAATCTCGACCTCTTCACTATCTCCAGTATCACTACCACTACCGCCGCCGCCGTGTCTAGGATTGCCCCGCGCAGCCAGCCGCCCCCACGCGTGCCCAGCGACGGGCGCGGGCCCACCCGGCTCAGCGAACAGAATAGGTAATTTAGTATCCACCGGTAAATCTACCTGACTCTTGCAAAAATTTTTGGAAGTGCCAAGCCACCAGCCGACCGCCCCCGCCACCGAGTCCGCGGCCGTGCAGGAGGACTTCAAGTTGGTATGATTTGGGTTTTTGTTTAAGGTCAAAGTTAAGGATGCGACGCAGGCTGTTGTAGAGTATGTCTCTTTGTTGGTCGTAGTTTGGACATGAAAATATAAAGTGTTTTACGTTTTCTTGGGAATTGCCACATGAACATTTAGGATTATCTGTCTTTTGTATTTTGTACTTATGTTCGTTTAGTATCGTCATATTAAGTCGTATTCTTGTATGCATTGTGTTAAGTGTCGTGGTGCCGTATGAGTAGTAAAGAGGAGGCTTGTTCATGCACATGAGCTCTTTGATCTCATTTCTGAAGTCTTTGTAGGGAAGATGCTTAATTGAGTTTGGTAGTTGATTCCATTGTTTTCCTGTGAGTGTTATAAATGTGCGTTGGTGTTTGGTTGTGCGTACATGTGGCTGGGAATGGTGGGCGGCGTTCCTTAGCGTCCTTTGTGTGGCTTGATGTCGTGAATTCGGTAGAAGAGAGGTGACATAAGAGGGTAAATTTTGACGTCCGGGTGTTGATAGTTTGTGGTAAAGTAGTAGTCGGTGAAGTTGTCGTCTGGTTTTTAGTTTGTCCCATCCTAATTCATAACGTAATTTGTCAGAAGAGGTCCTGAAAAGTGCTCCTGTTATTAGTCTTGCTACCCTGTTTTGGAATGTCTCTAGTCTCATGGTGTCGTGAATAGTAATGTGTCCGTCGTAAATAGTGTCGCAGTAGTCTAGATGTGGTCGAATGTACGTCTTGTAGATTGCGTCGAGAGTGTTTCGGGGAAGGAATCGTGCTATGGGATATAATGGACTGAGGGATTTGTTAGCTTTTGTAAGGATGGCGTTTATGTGTTCGTGGAATCTTAGGTCTTTAGAAAAGGTCAATCCAAGGTGCCTGTGTGTTTTTGTTATGGGTATTGGAAGTCCTCCGAAAGTGAGTTTTGGTGATGTATTGTTTGGTTTGTGGGAAAATGTTTGTTGTACTGTTTTGGAATCGTTGAATTTGATGGCCCATTCTTGTCCGTATTTTTTAATTTCGTCAAGGTCGAGTTGCAAAGAATTTTGAATGGAATTCAATGTTTTGCATGTATGGGAAGCGTAAAGTGATGTATCATCGGCGAAAAATAAAATGTCATTTTTTGTACGAGTTGAGAGGTCGTTGAGGTATAAAAGTGCAAGTAAAGGGCCGAGAACTGATCCCTGTGGGCAGCCAGCGTTTATCTTACGGGGAGCTGAGAACGAATTTTGAATTTTAACTATCTGTATTCTGTCGGATAGATATGATTTTAGCCAATTGAGAAGTGTTCCTGAAAGTCCAAATTCGTTTTCACATTTGTAAATTAACCCTTTGTGCCAAATTTTATCAAAGTATTTACTGATGTCCAAGTATATCGCTGTAAAATCTCCACCATCGTCTAAAGATTTATAGAGATTTTGTGTCAGATATTGAAGCTGTAATTCGGTGCTGTGACCTCCTCTGTAGCCGCTTTGTTTATCTGTTAATAGATTGTGATCAGTTAAATGTCTATATATATTTTTAAAGACTACTTTTTCGAATATTTTGGATACGACTGAAAGGATGCTGATTGGTCGGTAGTTTGAAATGTCTGATGGTGACCCTTTGTTCTTAAATATTGGTTTAATATGTGCTGTTTTAAACTCAGTTGGATACACTCCGAGAGAAAGTGATTTATTGAACAACTGTGATAGGGGTTTCGCAATAAGAATTGCCGTAAGTTTAAGAAATCGGGTCGGTAATCCATCTGGGCCTGTCGATTTATTTGCATCTAGTGAATTTAGGATTTGAAGTATTTCTTGTTCACTGGTTGTAAAGTTCTGTAGTTGTGGAATGTTTGCATTTGTCCTGTTCGTGTCTGGAAGTGGATGAGCGTCAGATACGTCTAAAGTTGATTGAGAAGCAAAGTAGTCGTTGAAAAGTGTCGCTTTTTCCATGTTGTCAGTAATCACGTTGTCGGTTTGTGTCAGCAGTGGTGGGATGTCTTTGTCAGTAGATCTGCCTATGACGGTACGTAATGTTTTATGATACTTGTACGGGTTTTGTCTTTGCTCGATCAGTTTTTCAACTTGATTCTTAATAAATTCGTTTTTAAGTTGTCTGCTCATTGTAGTAACTAAATTGCGCTGATATCGCCACCTCGTCCAGTTGAAGTCAGTTTGTGTTTGTTTTGCAAGCTTGAAGAGTCTGTCCCTTTTTCTAATGTTGCGTTTTAAGTTGCTTGTTATCCATGGCTTGTCTTTGCGCTTTTGTCTGATGACTATTTTTGGTATTGATCCTGTTGCCGCGTCTTGTAGTTTGGTAATGAATTGTGAGGTGGCTGTGTCAATGTCTTGTTCAATTATGTCATTCCAGTTAGTATCGGTAAGTGTCGTGGTCAAGAGGTCGATGTTTATTTTCCTATATTCCCAAATAACAATTGGTGGTTTCTCGACATTGTCGATTATTGTTGTGTCTAGTTCGGTGAAAATGGGGAAATGATCAAGGTTTGCAAATGATGACAGTGTGCCGCTGTTTTGAATTATGTCCGTGTTGCTTGTGAAGATTAGGTCTCTTAAATTTGCGACATCATACGTTACTCTGGTTGGCTCATCAATTAATTGGTTAAAGTTAAGCATGTCAGCTGTTTCCTTAATTTTGTAGTCAAATGAGGTTATGCCACTTTGCCCATTAAAGGACCTGTCAAGGTATATGTTTCCCGTGTTAAAGTCCCCCAGTGTTATAACGGCTGTCGGTGAGTGAGTTTGTGCTAAACAGGCTGCTTCGGTAAACGTGTACCCGGAGCTATGTGAGCATCGGTGGCGTCGACCGTCAGTTTTCATTATGGTTTCAACGTAAGCTTTGTCTAATTTTGGCTTTAAGACAATTTTATCATACAGAAAGTTAGCATTTGCACTGCGTTTTGCGACGGTCAAAGTTAGCCATCTCCCCAAGTAACCTTATCAAACTATGCTTAATTGAACGACGGCAATTGACGAAGTCTAACGAGTGGACGACTTGCACTGCAAAACAGGGCTGCGGAGTCGATTGATTTTCGGCGACTCCGACTCCGACTCCGGCTTTCAAAAACCAGCTCCGACTCCGACTCCAACTCCGGGCAGAATTGTCGACTCCGACCGACTCCAACTCCCGACTCCGACTCCGCAGACCTAGCAGGGCTGCGGAGTCGACAGATTTTCGGTGACTCCGACTCCGACTCCGGCTCGGGTTTGTAAAATCGACTCCGACTCCGACTCCGACTCCGGTCACAACTGTCAACTCCGACCGACTCCGACTCCGACTCCGACTCCGACTCCGACTCCGCAGCCCTGCTGCAAAATCTAGCAGAAATAAAGACGATTACTCCAGGAACTAGGAAACCCTCCATAATAAGATTGCCGCAATCAACGATGAAGCCAACGTAAACTTTGTGTGCACGCAAAACATCAGATCGCTGGGAAGTGATCATGCCAACGGCAGTCATCTAACGTCGGCTCCGTCGGCTAGCGCTACTGCAGAAGGACGGCTGACGATGAATAACGTTAGCCAAGAATTGTCGACCTCGTGTCGGGTAAAAGGTAGTGTGCCAGCTTTCCTGGACCGTATGGAGTTAATGGCCCAGATAAGGAGAACCGGATTTTTAGAACTTATCCATACCTTCAAAACTCATGGAAACGTCTTAAATTCTTCAAATTTTGAGTACCCCAGTGCGAAATTCGCCCCGACGGGTTGTCGGTCGTACTCCAACCACATTTCACACCACTATGAACAATAAATGCACACACTGAAATCGCTATTACCGATATGCTCATCCAATCAAGTTTCGATAAACCCGTTCATCATCATCTCCTGCGGTTTCGAACACGCCTGTTAGGTGGTGCGGTAGACCGCGCCCAAAGCCAGGGCCCCGGTAACGTGAGGTAGCCGAGTCGAGGCAGCGTGCGCTGACCCAAGCCGGGGCCGCGCGTCCTCCCGGTGTCATGTGATAGCCCGGGGCTGCCCGCGGGGATGCGGTAGACCGCGCCCAAAGCTGCGGCCCCGGCTTGGGTCAGCGCACGCTGCCCCGACTCGGCTACCTCACGTTACCGGGGCCCTGGCTTTGGGCGCGGCTTCTGCTCATACTTTGTGGTGCGG